CCACGCCAAAGTAGCCAAGGGTGCAGTTGATCTTCATTTAGTCCGTGTAAGTCATTCTTGGCGTCATCGTCGCTAGTCGAACCTATGTGATGAAAGTCAAGGACACAACACTGCGAAGTCATTCAACCAAAGACACATTCTACCTCCTAGCGAGGTGTCTCAAATAACGGATGCGAGATATTACAGCATCGAATGCATTGGCACGACCTTGTGGTCTTGTTCTCTCCGCGTGCGCTCGAAGGGTCAGTATGGATTGATCAATGTCAGTAGACTGGTGGTTTGCTGTCAGAAGTCCCGATCCCTGCACTGTCCTGCTGGTTCTCTCCAACCATGGTAACAAGCACATCAGCCGCTTTCTTGCTCGATTGCGCCACAACATTTTGGCTTTCAAGACCCTATCGATCCGGATTGCACGAAATGCTTGTACCGCGGCTTGAATTGCTTTACGAGCCAACCTTGCATCAGCGTCCTGTGACATGAGAACGCGAGCTAACGTGGCACCATCCATATGTATTTGGCCATCGATACCCTCTTGGGTGACATTGCTCTTATTTTGCAAGTCTCGAGTCTGCACGAATGCTTGTTCTTCGTCAAACAAATTCCCGCGGCCTGGACTGATCCAGAGCGCAGCTCCATGGACAGCAGCGGGGATCTCATTCACATCAATAGCGTGGCGTTGAAGCATTACTGTCGCGCGCTCATTAATTTGTTGATGTCGAAGTTCATCGGGTGCCGTTGAGAAGTCGATAATAAACATGGCAGTCCTCGCAGGCCACGCAGTTTGACCATCGGAGGCCTCGCGAAGTAGCACCTTCTTTATTAGCATAGATCGGGGCGCTGCGACGAGATTTCTAATTTCATCTCCCCATGTAGATAGAGGAAGAGGCTCAGCTTTCAAAGGTGTATCGAGATCAGCAGCAAAACGGAGAGCGGCAAAGTCCGCTATTGATTTAGGCTTGTTGTCTCGCATTCTTCCTCGCAGAGCTGCACGAGCACCAAGAACAGACGTGACCCCTGCGACTATTTTGTATCTTTTTGCCTTCAACGCAGCAACACCAGCGCGACGTCGTCGCTTGTCTGTGTTTTCAGCGCAAACAAAACCATTTGAGGCCACTCGATCAACAATACGAACGGTTACTTCGGCCACAGCAAGCGTGGCTACAGCACTTGCAGTGCCTCTGAGGGACTCTAACGTCACATTTGCGGTATCCAGGGAGGTTACCGACAATGCTCGAAGCTGCCACCTGCTTCTACGTGGCTCTAGCCTCAAAGCAGGATCTAGTGGAGTTGATGCACATCCGAGTGCATCCAACAGCTGGCTTGCAACGCCCCAAAAGCCAAAAGCCGGCGTATTTGTCCTCACCACCGCGCCAGAACTGGGATCATATGCACGGAAATGGAGAGTGGCGTGCCACAACTCGACAGACACAACCCACGGCCCTCGAAGCCCCTCCTCTAATATCGCCTCACCAGCAGTCTTAGAAGTTGATATGACCTATGGCAAATATCCCCATCAAAAAGATGCAGGTCACCACCAAAAAAGGGACGCTGTCTTTGCCCGCTGCGCGCGGGCAGTGTCAGAACAGGGATTGTAACAGCATGTTTCACAATGAACTGGGGCTGGCAATCATGATCCCACCAACACCAAGCTCCCTCCTCCAATCCTGGAGCCGCAGGCAGTGGCTCGTCGCGCTCACCACTCTCCGACCAAGACATGACGAAGTTATGGTCACTAGTGGGCACTAAACGAAGGTGCATTACACCAATTTCTGTAACAAGGATGCGAAGCTGCGGCAGCGCTGCCATGGCGACCGTCCTGGCCATACGATTGAGAAAACCAGCGGCAATGCGCTGGGAGGCACGCAACCTAGCCAAAATTGCTACTGCCGTTGCAATTGCAACACGGGAGTCCCGGGAGTTGTTGAT